CCCCCCCCCCCCAAATTCGTTTTCGATGTAGGAGGGGGCGTGGCCTCGCGGTGGGGGCGGGGCCTCAAGTCGGAACAGGCGTGGCCTCAGAGATGCTGCCTCGCTGGAGGGGCGTGGCCTCGTCTAAAGGGCGTGGCCTCGTAGATGCTTCCTCGTTATGGAGGGGGCGTGGCCTCGCTGGAGAAGGCGTGGCCTCGTTTGGAGTTGCGACCTCGCAGATGCTTCCACGTTAGGAGGGGGCGTGGCCTCGCTGGAGGGGGCGTGGCCTCGCGGGGGCCGCTGTCACCAGAGGCGGTGCTGGTGGAGATTTCGGCTCAGCACAGAGCGGACGTCGGCCGTGAACCTGGGGGGGGGGGAAACGGGGGCGTGGGGGGGCACCGTCAGACCCACATGGAGCCCAAAATTCTGCTGTGACCCCCCCCCCCATATCCCCCCATCCAGCCCACCTGAGTGCATCCAGCATGGGCAGCAGGTTGAGCAGCGCCGTGTCGCTGGGGTCGCTGAACCACGACTTGATGGGGATGGCGTTATCTGTGGGGCACAAAAGGGGGCGTGAAGGGCTTGGGGGAGAGATTTAGGGGATGGGGGATATGGGGGAGGGTCCTGGGGGGAGGGCCGTACCCGGGTGGCTGCGGTAGGCGCCAGGCGAGTTGTCGAGGATGACGATGCTGGAAAGGTCTCCATGAACCACCGAAAGGTCCTTGATGTAACTGCCCAGCTCCAGCGTGCAGTGCTGGGGGCGGGGACAAGGTTAGACACGCCTCCTTGGAGTGTGGCCACGCCTCCCCCCCACCCCCCATCCCTCAGGTACAGCCCAAAGCGCTCACAGCCAATGGGGGCAGAGGAGAGAGCACAGCTGTGGCAGCGCTGACCAATAGGACACGCCCACAAGCCCCTCCTCCTTTAGGCCCCGCCCACCCATCATTAGCAGCGCCTGTTGAGAATGCTGTGATTGGCTCACCTTTAGGCCCCGCCCCCATTAAGCCCCACCCACCTGTCTGTAGTAGTGCCAGTTGAGGATGCTGTGATTGGCTCCTATTAAGCCCCGCCCCCTGCAGCCCCGCCCACCTGTCTGTAGTAGCGCCGGTTGAGGATGCTGTGATTGGCGCCCCATTAAGCCCCGCCCCCTGTAGCCCCGCCCACCTGTCTGTAGTAGCGCCGGTTGAGGATGCTGCGGTTGTTGTCCAGCTTGTCGGCCACGGCGCAGCCGTAGATCTCCATGCTGGCTGTGAACACCACCAGCTCGTACCATTGGCTCACCTGGGGGGGGGGCCCGGGCGGGGGGGGGCTCAGGGGGGCTCTGAGACCCCCAGGAGGGGAGAAACCCCCCCCCAGGATCAATGGGGTTCTATGGGGGCAGAATCGCTCCCCATAGGGCCAACGGGATCCTCGTCTGTTGGGGGGTGAAGGAAGCAAGCAGCCTATGGGGGTATGGGGGGTCAATGGGGCTGGGGACCCCCCCCAAAATTAAGGACCCTATGGGGGTCTGGGGGAGAGATGAGGAGATTGGGGAGCCATCTTGAATTGGGAGCGTCCTATGGGGCTGGGGACCCCCCCCC